TCGGCGGCGGGGCTTGGGGGGTGCGAGGGAGGGCCCGGGCCCGAGTCCTCGAGGATCCGCGCATCCGGGATCGCCACCTCCATCAGCTGAACCTGATGCGGCATCCCCTTCGCCGCCTGCATCCCGACCGCCAGATACTTTAGGGTGTAATCGCAGCTGGGATCGCTGATGGTCAGGGCAGGGATCCATTCTAACGTCAGCAAAGGCCACTCCGACACGTGCAATGAGCAGAAATCATAGAGCGCATGCAGGTTATCCTCGAAACATCGTTGGAGACGCAGCGCGCGAGCCAACGCGGCCGATTTTCCATTATTAACCGCAGACACGTGGACCTCTAGACTGTCGGCCTGACCTTGGGTTTGTACTAAAATGAGAGAGGATTCAACTTCTCGTTCATTTATGTTATGGTCAGTGGAGGAAATACCATGAGCCTCCCGTCTTGAATTCGATTTATTCCCGTCCTCAACTAAAGGCGATTGATACGCTACATGTTTTAGGTGGGGCAGCCGAGAGTCATGTTGAAAGTTAGAACTGGAAACCGTGGCCGTTTCGGAGGAAGACCTAAGGATAGCTTCTTTGTGCTTGGTCTCATGTGGAAACGAATCGCTTCTATCGATATCGATGTGTATTTCGGTCACTTGACAGGTTTGGGGTGCCTTGAGGAATGATTTCGCTTCACCATTGGTGAGCTTTACCTTTGAAACCAACAACGGTGCCACATTAGGAGGTCGCTTCCTAATGAGTCGCTCATTCAACAAGCTTAAATCCTTTTGCCTCTCTCGGTCAAGGCTTTTACTCATTGAATATGGAAGTTCTGCGATCCTTCAATATCAACTTCGTATCTTTCTGAGATTCACTAAGGATAATATCCAAAGTGACGAGACTTCTGCTACTTCACCAAAAATAAAGGAAAACGATACTTACCAAATGTAACTAAAACCTTCAGAATTCTATCTAGGTCTATAGATAATAAGACTTTCTTTCTTTGATTTGTAGAGCTTAATTATCGTGACCTAATTCAGTAAGGTATATAAATACAAAAAAAGATATTCGAACCCTTATGAGCAATAGACTACAAGAATGCAAGCCAAAGGTAAAAATGGACTGAAAAAAAAGAGAAAATGCTTTTAACTCTAAAACAAAGGATAAAAAATTTGTGCATTAAAACAAATAGATACGCTTGATACCATCATGATAACAAAGGTGTGGCCCTTTAGTTAAAATAACTCAATAGAATATTCTCCCATGAATAAATTTTAATCAATCAGGTTTAAAGGCAACTCATTCATCTAAATATCGTAACGTATACACGGTGACATGGAGGAGATGAGAACCTTTTACTAATGCGTTCTGTGACCTGTCATTCGTGCCCAGTACATTTGTCATCGCTACTGTACTTTCGGCAATGTGTATGCACCACACACATATCAATCAGCTGCTTTTTTCTCTATCATTCTATACGGAACCAATAATAACGAGAATAGTGTTCAGAAAATAAATTCTGATCCAATTAAAGAGACCACTAGCTTTCACGAACTCCGGAACGACGCGCCGCTATCGATGATGCCCGAGTATGGCCCATTTCCTTCTTGTCGATCCGGTTTGAAATGCCGTGGGAAGACCGTCGATTGGGTGCCACCGTGGTGCGGTGAAAACGGTGCGAGGACGGTTGGGGCTCCTCCGTTATCCCTCCCGCATTGGTGGCCGGTGGTTTTTGAAAATGGCCCGGGGAACGCTCCGCCGAATCACCGGATGGTGCGAGAATCGAAATACCGTCGGTAGAAGAAACTAATGAGCCGCCAGCAGTTGGGTCGCGATTAGCGCCGCGGTGATAGGAAAAGTATCGATTAAAGTCGATCCGAATCCAAAGAGCCCGCTCGGAGAGCCGGCTAGAAACGCTGAGGTGCCGACCGACGAAGGCCGCCATGACTTTTTGCCGTACGCGAGTTTCCAGCGCCGCCAGCGCGGCGGCGACCTCGATTGGGGTTTGGTTCACCCCCTCCACCGCCCAGTAGTTGAGGCGATACCGCACACACAGAACGTAAAGCGTGATGGCGCATTCCTCCAGGGCGCGGCAGATCCCCAAAAGCCCCGTCGATCCCTCCATGAGGAAAGAATTCTCCGCAATATTCAACATAAACCGATCATGGCAGCGCTTGGTCTCATCCAGGCTTCCACAGCGCTTAATGTTCTGGCGAAACTCATTCGTGTACTGGAGAACCACATCAATTTGAAAGTAGTTGGCCACGGCGGTTTGTAGAAAGTGGAGCATCTGAAAGAGGGTATAGGCGCGACGTAGGTCGTGGGAGGGCTTCGGGTTGGTTGTGATGGCATCCGCAAATAGTTGGCGTAGTAAACTCAAGGCATACAACGCAAAGCGCATGGATATGTGTAGTGAGAAGAGCCGTTGATAATACTCAAGCGCCTTTTGCGAGACCACAAGTTGGAGTCCCTGAGGGGTCGAATAGACAATCGAAAGATCCCGAATAAGGCCCAAAATCGACTGCGCGGCCCCCTCCACCGACAGCGCGTCCGTTGTTTGATCGCTCGCGACGGCAGTGGCGTCGGAGGGCGACGTCGCCTGGGTCAGGCTCACGCAAAACGACTCATAGGTCGATCGCTCCGCCAGTCCGGATATGTTAAGCCCATAGGCGAAGGCCTCCCCGACGGCCCGGCGCAGGTTGGCCTGGTATAACGTGCGCGTTTTCGAGAAGCCGACGGGATTGTGCGGGAGGGACCATCCTTCCGCCCGATCGGCGCGGAAGGCGGGGAAGGTGCGCTCGACAAAGGCATGCCATAGGTCGCCCCGGGTGCACATAAACACCACCTGAAGCGCCTCAAGGTACTTCGTCAACGGCGCGGTGCGCGAGACCCTCTCCCAAAGGGCCTTGGCCCAAAGCACCCGCGCCGACTCCACCCGTGCGGCCATCTCATCCACCGCCAGGACGCCGTCTTTGCACAAGGCGGGGGTGAAAATGGTCTGGAAAACGGACTCCGCCGCCCCATCCAGCGCGCCGATCGCGAGCTGCTCAAGATAATCCCCTTCGTGGGCCTCCACCTCGTTCAGAAGGACGCGACGGGCCTTTCCCGCCGCCAGAATCGCCAACCCCAGATCCACCGAAAGCCCAGGGGGCAGGACGTCCTGGCGAAACGTGTGGGCCTCGCTGGCGTATTTCTTCCCCTCCCCCACCGAGGTCGTTGTGGAGGCGACCGAAATAAAGTAATCCGCGCGGCCGTAAAGCACCACGCCGTGCGCGACGTAATGCGCGGTGGTGTACAGGACGGCCTGCCATAAATGTTCACCCATAATTTGGCGAAAAAGAGGGGGCACCTCCATGTTGGACAGAAAGTTTCGAATCCCCGCAAGGTACGCGCCCGTCGCCGACGAGGAGGACAGGAACCGGGGCTGGGATGGGTTCGCGCGGGTTATGTTCTCAAGCAGGTCGAACGTTAAGCGGTAGGTCGATCGCAACAAAGACAGATCCGAAGGCTTTTGGGCGCCTTTTACATCCTCGACATAATAAGAGAGAATCTTTTCGAGGGTGCCACTCACGGCGGATGCATAAAGGCCCTCGGTCATGCCCAGGCTCGCGTTCCTTGCGATAGCGGAAAGGGTGGCAAATTGCTGTCCAAGTGGCAACAAGCCTTCTAATAACAACAACTCGGTCGGGTGAAGACTCGAGCGTATGGCGGGGGATAGAAATAGAATCGACGTACCATCGGCATTGGCAGCTTCCTTGTGGCCCATCGAGTCGCCGGGAGATCGGAAAGGTGAACTCGCAAGCAGCGCGCTTGAGTCAAACCCCAGAAGAACGCATTGAATCTCCTCCATTCTACCACTTTGTTCTGCTTAAGAACACACACACAAAAAAAAATAGGGAAAAAAACGATCGGGTTGATCTAATGGTATCCTGGGCGTTCAAGGAATTAGAGTTCTATGGCAATTTAGATGTGTGACTAAAAAAGAGTTCAGTTCCATGTGAAACTTCGTAGAATAAACAAAAAGAGGGGAAAAAAATACAATGAAGATGATTTGCTATTTAGCGAAATTCATAAGGGCGATCCCTTCATAACGATCGGAAAAATGATAAATAAAATAAAAAGATACGTATTGCAGGAGATCCAGAGCGAAAATAATTCTGAAATCATATATATAGCAGATGAATAAATATGAAAAAGGGGTAAGGGAAGAATTACGTTTGAAAAAAAAAGCAACGCGTATGAACTCGACAAATATAGAATACCGATAAAAATATACTTTATGGATATTCTCACAAATAGATAAATCAAAGCCGCATCATGACGAATAGCAGCGCGTTAGAAGACCCGGCATAGGCCCACTACAAGGCATCAAGGGTGGCAAACCAGCCTTTTATGTCCTCACACAACTTCAGCAGCTGCGTAGTGACGACTCGGTTGACATCCTGCACGCCATCCTTTCCGGCCACAGCCTGCTCAGAAGCGGTCGAGTCGAAAGATGGACGAAGCGTGATCAAATGGAGGGCCCACTCGAGCGGGATGAACCCGCAATGAATCGCGAGCCCGACCCCCAGCAGCGGATTAAACATCAACTGCGCCCGAACGGCCATGGACGTCGGAGGAAGTGTCGTAGTCCCTCCAGGGCTATTCCGAAGACCGGAGGAATCGGAATCGAACGTCGGCCCCTTCACCGTCCCGTCATCCTGGGCGTCGTCGAGCACCACCGGCAGCAAAAGCAGCACCAGGCTGCGATTGACCAGGCGTTGGATGGCCCCCGCGTAGCAGTGATGCGGCATCGCCTCGGGGAGTTTGGCCCGGGCGGCGAACCCCCCCAAGGCCGCCAGGCCCTTCCCGCGGGCGTCGTAGAAGTACCGCTGGAGCACCTCCGCCGCGACCTGCCACCACAGCGGCGGCCCCCCCACCCGGCCCCGCAGCCGCCCGAAGACGAAGGCCTCCAT